TTAACAAGCTTAAGGCAGTCTGACAATAATTGCTTGGCATACAGAAAGAATTGAACTCGGGGTGGAAGCCCTGTTGTTGGTTGCTCGGGAGATTTTGGCTTAATTTTCTTGTTTTCTCTCTCCCTTGTTAGAATGTGATTGTGCTTTGGCCTTAAAAGAGGTCCCTGTTGATACATGAAGCGGCTAATATTATTAACCAATCACCTGTTCTGTCTCGTCGCTAAGAGGATCTTTTTTCTAACTCTACCAATTCTTACCTGGGCATTCGAGGCGTCTTTCCTATTTTTCGAAGAAAGAACTTTTTTCTGTTTAAATTAATTAGTGAAAATAGCGCTGTAGCAGTATAAGAGATTAATATGACATAAAGCCACAAGTATCCCAATGGGAATTTGAAATTAACTTAATTGTTTTTTCTGTATATTTTTACTTTGAATTTATTCTTCCGAAGATTTAAGTCCTCAAGAGATTATTCCAAATATAGGACTTAGATTTTATTCTTTTCAAAAACAATCCTAAAGCAGAACATATAATACAATCTAATTTATCCTAAAGTGGAATTTCTCTTTTTAACGCAAGAGCCAATCTACCCTAAACTTCGTATTCCCGGCAGCACCATTTAAAATAATTAGTGGCAACAAACGTAGTTTGCAATTTTAATTATTTCTGAGGTAATTTAGGAATTTCATGGCGACTATAAGATGACAACTATATAACTGTAAGATCTCAACTCAAACAGATGTAACCAATAAAATGACGTTTATACTAATAAAAAGAAATGACTTTATCTAATGATAGCTTTCTCGCTTTAAGGATGAAATCTGAGAAATTATAGCTGCTTTATTTAGAGCTTAACTGAATGAATTTTGTCTTAGGAAATTCACCGAAATTAACTTAAAAAATGGGTAATGGGAATACACCAGGTCTATCCGTTTTTATAACATTAATGTTACAACAAACTATTGTATAAATTATGTACTATTTTTTTTCCAGTTTGAAAAATGTGGCGATTATTCGCAGGACTTCCCCACTAGGGTAGGAGGTTATACAAAATCGATTTTAACGTGGAGTGACCATAGGGGTCAAGGAGAAAAATTGCCCAGTCCCCGCCGCCACGGTCACGCTGGTGTCGAACTTACACCGACCCAAGGAAGGTCCTGTCATAGGGTTGTAATCATCGGAATCGGGCTCCTTTTCAATCTAAAATAATGAGAGAGAAGATACTATCCCTTGATCCAAGCCAAAAAAGGATTGGAATACGGATCGATAATTCCTAAGACATAAAGTTCTTGTTTCACATGTCTCCATTTCTTGAAACGAAGTATCCAATTTGAAAACTTTAAACGATACGAGAAAAATAAAACAAAACAAAATAGATACAGTGTAACCCGGATATAAGAGAACCTGATATAAGAGAAACCCGGATATAAGAGAGATCTTTTCTGGTCCCAAATTAGAGCCTGTGTTAATGTATATAAAATCGACCAAACCCGGATATAAGAGAAACCTGGATATAAGAGACTTCTTCTCCGGTCCCGACAACTCTCTTATATCCGGGTTACACTGTACGTAAAAAACCTCAACAAAATTATATCGATGTATAAATCGTTTACAAATATAATTTGAAACTGCAAAATACTACGATAATTTATGTCGATACGAGATTGATATGTTAATAGATAATATAGTACATCTTTTTAAAGAGAATTTTCATAGAGATGGCTGTATTTCGGGGTCGTAAACGCTCAATGGTGTAATTTATTCCTGTTTATAGTTTCAGAAAAAACGGGGTCGTCTTATACACAAGAATATACGGTAACATGGTCTGTGTCAAAGAATTTTAGACCCACTTGAGTGACAGGGTGTAATCGATTTCTATTTTTTACCCAGTTTGGGTCATTTGCAGTGGCGTGCAGTAATATGAATCTATTTCCGGGTGTATGATGGAATTCGTCTGGCCCTGAAAAATATTGTGTCATCTCTGATTGCATCAGATTTTCATCACGCCCAGACACTATTATCTCGACTGTCGATTAGTCGTCCTACGGCTATTGTCTGCGATGGACGTTACTCTAAGGAAGCGTACGTCAATTATTATGCTGCATGAACACAGTGGTAAAACTTACCAGTGAGCAAATTAAATACTAGAGTGGCCCGGAAACTCACCTAATTTAAATCCAATCGAAAATCTGTGGTCAATCCGCAAGGAAAGATTTCGTGATATGGACATACGAAGTACTAACATGTGCACTTGGTCAGGGTTCACTGGAAAAATACGGAAATAATTACGGAATTATTCCTTTTGTTTCAATTAATGCGAACAAGGTGTAAATGTTTCGTAGAATTTAGTTGTTAAATACAAGTTTATTTTCAATAAATTACTTTTACTTCAAAATAAAGCATATCAGTCAGTGATATGCGTTATACAAGCTTAGGTGATCATGTATCTTTCGATACATGACTGACGAGGCAGATTTTTCCCCGCTGTAAGTTGCTATTTCTTTCTGCGGTAGACCAGTTGCCATCAAAGGCTAGAGAACCCGGCCTGTCCTCCTATTTACCCATATCTGGGCGAAGAAAAGGATTCATACCTTTCCCAAGGGTATTAGCACGTAAGTGAATATAATGGATTCGACTGGTATTTGAACTCTGCTCTACGATTCCTCAATACGAGCCGCGATACATTACTCCACCCTGCCTCCATTTCCCTCTATCACCACCGCTTTTACTATATTTTTTATTAGTTCATTCAGTTATGTGGCATGCGTGATATACGCTTAGGTGATCATGTTTCTTTCGATACATTACTGACGAGGCAGATTTTTTTCCCGCAGTAGGTTGACATTTCTTTCTGCGCTAGATCAGTTTCCATCCAAGGCTATATAACCCGGTCTGTCCAGCTATTTACCGATAGCTGGGGGGGGGGGAGAAGAAGAGGATTCATATGAAGCATATACATTTACTATTTTTTATAATAGAATTCCTAAACTTGTCTATTAGTAAAAAATAAAACCGATTTTTCCATCGAATGGTTATGAGGATCCACCAAAAATGGTAAAGAATAAAAGTGGTCCATGGGTAAAAAAAAGTTTGAGAACCACTGATTTCGACATTAATTAGCCACTTATCGTCAGTATTTAGCCACATTCTGCTAAGGCAATATCCCCCTCCTTACGCACTCCTCCTACCAGAGTCAGATAAAACCATTTTTTATTGCTGCCACATCTGGGCAGGAGTAGCCCCATCCTCAGTTTCCAGCCATGACCGAGTTCAAAAGACTTTGCGCCGTCTTGTGGGTGATGAAATCCTATCCTTCAACCACCCACCCACAGACGAAACGTTTCTAGCCACTCCTTACCCTACCGCTATTTTTATGGCAGACGTTTGGACGTTATACATTCCTTGATACCACCTTCACAGCTAGAACCCGCCATACCACACACACAGAGTCGACCCATCCACATTCCTTTCATATTCTGTTACTAAGGAATAAGTTTCACTCATACAGCTTCTCCCTAAGAACTCTTGCAAATTCATGAACTTCAGAGGTGATGCTTCCCTGATCACTACAGTCTTAGCCGCTTCTAGTCAAGGATCACCTGCTATAATATGCTGCCCTCGGACACTCCCTGTACCGCCTCACAGTGGAGCAGCAGCTTGGAAAATCGTACAAAATCGATCTCATATGGAACAGAATCCTGACTGAACTAATCTTGGTAAATCCAAATGTGGAACCACTGAGCATCAACGTTATACTGAAGCGAGAAATATCAGAAAGACAAAAAATATTAAGAGCTATAAGGGACAGGAAATTGTGGAGAGCCATCATCGCCTACGCTCTGAGGTGACACAGTACATAAAGAAAAGGAAGCATATTCTAGTAAAGTAAGGCGCATGTCATCCATACGGAGTCTGAACAGTTAGTAGTCAATTCCAAACCAACACCTTTACATGGTGTCGTCATTTTATAGCTTCAATTTCGCGCATGCGCGTTGTTTCTTTTTTTTTGTCGGCTGCACACTAGATTAGGGTCAATTGGGCATCGTCTGGGAGAAAAAAAGAGCACCCTGACACAATTCAGTCCGCCAGAAATTTGGAAACGGTATGCTGTACTGCTTGGCATTCGCACCAGAAGCTCCAATATGAACATTTCGGAGTGTTTGGCTGTCAATCTGCCGACAATGCAGAGGATTCGAAAAGAGACGGGGGAGTCTAATACCAATTATGGAAGTGTTTGGTGTGATCACTAGTGATGGCAACGTCATCTTCCCAAACGTATGCCTACATCAAGTGCCTTGACGAGGTAGTTCTGCCCTGGGTCAAGAGGGTGGCTGCTGGAAGATCCTATGTCTGGCAGCTACACAAGCAGGAGAACCCAGTCATGGCTATAAGATAATTTCTGCGACCATATCACCCCTTACATCTGGCCACCTAACTTCCTAGAATACAATCCCTTTAAATGTTATGTGTAGGGCGCAACGAGAGACCAACAAAACTCCTTGTAGCATCAAAGATGAACTGAAGGCAAGGATTACGGCAGCATTCATCACCTTAAACAAGGAGACTGTCTAGAAGAGTTACAGGTGATTCCGAAGTCGTCTGAAGGCCGTGTTTGAAGCCAATGGCGATTTTATTGAATAAATTTACTCTTTAGTATTTCAAGATATTTTTGTGTAATTTTGGCAAATACATCTGTTAAAACGAGATGTCAATCTTATTTTCATTTTTGTGTCATTTAGACGACAATTTATACATCGCACCCAGTATATCCGTTAAAATGACGTCATTTTCATTTTTTTTTTTTGCGTCGTTTAGACGACAATTTATCCATCGCACCCAGTATATCCGTTAAAATGAGATGTCAGTCTTTTCCCATTTCTGTGTCATTTAGAGGACAACTTATCCATCGCACCTTGTACATCAAATCAGACGTCAGTCTTATTTTAACTTTTTGCATCGTTTAGGCGACAATTTATCCAACGCACCCTATATATAAAGTTGCCATGACTTGTTCCCTTCTTCTTCTTCTTCTTCTTCTTCTTCTTCTTCTTCTTCTTCTTCTTCTTCTTCTTTCAGTGTTGTCTCTCCATTAATTTCCTTCGTCTGCCTTGTCACATTCACAAGCGGTCTCCGTGTCTGGAAATAATACGTGTGAATACATATGCAGATATATGCTCCTGTCGAGATATATGGGCAAGCGTGGCCGTACGCACCATGTCTGGATCGAAATGCACGCGCCCAGGGACGCTCTTGATTTTCTCTCCCCCGACATCGTCATCGCACACGTCCTACTCTGCGTCAGTTTTCCTTTTGCTTTTAATGTCTTTTCTATCTTTTCGTTTCCTTATCAACCAGACCATCTACTCCATTAATTCGGTCCTTTCCCCACTCCCGCTCCACTGAACCACGACCCGTTTATCCGTTCCGACATCCATTCGGCCATTTGTTTGACTCTTCGATTCCTTTAACACTCGCATTTCTTTTCTTCTTTCTTTCTTTCTTTCTTTTTTTCTTTCTTTGTCTTTCTTTCTTTCTTTCTTTCTTTATTGGCATCTTTCTTTATTTGTATCTTTCTTTATTTTATCTTTCTTTTTATTTCTTTCTTTATTCCTATCTTTCTTTCTTTCTTTCTTTCTTTATTTCTTTCTTATTTCTTTTCCATCGTTTTGTACATTTTCACTGTTATTTCATTCCTTCTTTCCTTTTAACACTCGCATTTCTTTTCTTCTTTCTTTCTTTCTTTCTTTCTTTCTTTCTTTCTTTCTTTCTTTGTCTTTCTTTCTTTATTGGCATCTTTCTTTATTTGTATCTTTCTTTCTTTCTTTCTTATTTCTTTTCCATCGTTTTCTACATTTTCACTGTTGTTTCTTTCCTTCTTTCCTTTTAACACACGCATTTCTTTTCTTCTTTCTTTCTTTCTTTCTTTGTCTTTCTTTCTTTATTTGTATCTTTCTTTCTTTCTTTCTTTATTTCTTTCTTATTTCTTTTCCATCCTTTTCTACATTTTCACTGTTGTCGCATTCTTTCGTTCTGCTTTTTTTTCTCTATACTTCCTTCCGTATTTCTTTCCTTCTTTCCTTTAACACTCGTCTTTCTTTTCTTTTCTTCTTTCTTTCTTCTTTCTTTCTTTCTTTTTTCTTTCTTTATTTTTCTTTCTTTCTTTATTTGTATCTTTCTACCTTTCTTTCATTCTTTCTTTCTTTTCTTATTTCTTATTTCTTTTCCATCGTTTTTTACATTTTCACTGTTATCGCCTTCTTTCGTTCTGCTTTTTTCTCTATAGTTCTTTCCGTATTTCTTTCTTTCTTTTTTATTGGTTTCTTCTTTCCTGGTGTGTATTCTTTTCTCGTTTTTCTCTCTTCTATATTTCCTTCATTCTTTCTTTCCCGTCATTTTCTCTATACTCATTCTTATCATTCCTTTTTGTTTTTCTTTCTTTATCTCGAGTTTTTTTTTCTATTTTCTTTTTTTTCCTTGATTTCATTTTTTTTTCTTTCGTTGTTTCTTATTTTTCATTTCTTCTTTATCTTTGTTCTATTTTTCATTCATTTTTCATCCATTCTTTCTACCCCCATAATTTTTTATATATTCATTTCTTAGCTTTCTTTTTTGTTTTTCTTTATCCCCACTTTCTCTATTTTCCCTTTTTTTTTTTTTTGAATTTTTTCTTCACTTTCTTCCTTTCTTCACTTTTCTTTCTTTTTTCAATTACTTTGTTTATTTTTTCTTTCTTTCTTAATTTTCTTTCTTTTTATTTTCTTTCCTTCATTCTTTCTTTTTTCTTTCTTTCTTTTTCTTACTTTATTTTATTTCTTTTTTCTTTCTTCAATCAATTTTTCTTTTTCTTTCTAAACTTTCCTTTTTTTCTTTCCTTTTTCTTTCTTTCTTTCATTTTTCTACTTTTCTTCAATTTCCTTCTTTCTATCTTTTCTTTTCTCTTCATTTCCTATTTACTTATCATGTGAACATTGTATTTGATTTATTCTGCTTTTCTTCTTCAAATTTTATTTTCTCGTTCTTTTATTTTTTTATATTTATTTATATTTTTAATTTTTTCCTCTTCTTCTTTCCTGTTTTCCTTTTCTTTCAATTTCTATATATTCATTCTTGTAGCATTCATCGCATCTATTCTAGTTCAATCTTTCTATCTCTCTTTTCTTTTTTTTCTTTGTTTTCTTCACGTTCTTTCTTCACGTTCTTCCTTCCTTTCCTTTCCTTTTCTATATATTTATTCTGATAGTATTCATTATGTTTTTATTTCTCCATTTTCTTTTTATTTGGTTAAATACTTTTTTTTTACTGTATTCTCGTTCTTTCTTTTCTGCATTTTCATTCCTATCCCATTGTTCAGTTCTTGCTCATTTTTTGTTGCATTTCATTTGTATGAAAGAAAGAAAGAAAGAAAAAAAGAATGAAAGAAAAAAGAAAAAAGAAAGAAAAAAGAAAGAAAGAAAGAAAAAGAGAAAGAAAGAAAGAAAAAAGAAAGAAAGAAAAAAGAATGAAAGAAAAAAGAAAAAAAAAGAAAAAAGAAAGAAAGAAAGAAAAGAAAAAAAAGAAAAAAAGAAACAGAAAAAAAGAAAAAGAAAAAAAAAGAAAAAAAAAAAAAAGAAAAAAAGAAAGAGAAAGAAAAAAGAAAGAAAAAAAAAAAATGAAAGAAAAAGAAAAGAAAGAAAAAAAAAAAGAAAGAAAAAAAAAGAAAGAAAGAAAAAGAAAAAAGAAAAAGAAAAAAAAGAGAAAGAAAGAAAAAAAAAGAAAGAAAGAAAAAAAAAGAAAGAAAGAAAAAAAAAGAAAGAAAAAAAAAGAAAAAAAAAGAAAAGAAAAAAAAAGAAAGAAAGAAAAGAAAAAAAAGAAAGAAAAAAAAGAAAGAAAAAAAAAAAGAAAAAAGAAAAAAAAAGAAAAAAGAAAGAAAGAAAGAAAAAGAAAAGAAAGAAAAAAAGAAAGAAAGAAAAAAAAAAAAGAAAGAAAAAAAAAGAAAGAAAGAAAAGAAAAGAAAAAGAAAAAAAAAAGAAAGAAAAAAGAATGAAAGAAAAAAGAAAAAAGAAAGAAAAAGAAAAGAAAGAAAGAAAAAAAAAAGAAAAGAAAAAAAGAAAAAAGAAAAAAGAAAAAAGAAAGAAAAAAAAAAGAAAGAAAGAAAAAAGAAAGAAAGAAAGAAAAAGAGAAATAAAGAAAGAAAAAAGAAAGAAAGAAAAAAGAACGAAAGAAAAAAGAAAGACATTTTTACCGTATTTTTCTTGTCTACTTTCTCTCTTTCTTATGTTATTTTTTTCATATTTTGTATTTTCTTTTTTTCCTTCCTTACGATTTCGTTTTCTTTCTGTCTTTGTTTGTTTGCTTCTTTCTTTCTTTCTTTCTTTCTTTCTTTCTTTCTTTCTTTCTTTCTTTCTCTTGCCCTTTCTTCCTTTCTTGTTTGATCGCTTGTCCTTTCTCGTCCATTTTGCAAAATAAACTCATCCACCCGCTCTTCGCCAACATCCTTACCATCCCGCAGCGCCTGCATGCCCAATCCAAGCCGTAGTAAGTAGAAAACAGACATCAGAGCGGATTTATTACCCAAATCCACTCGGTCTGAGCCGGTAATTCATGGCGGATGGCGTGTGTCGGTCGGATTTACTCTGCAATCACTTCTTTTCCCTTCGATATTTTCCTCTCTTCTTTGACGTCCATCCACTCATCTCAACATCGCCCACCTCCCACAAACCCCTCTCTAATCAATTATTTAAAGGGACACTGTAAAACGACGTTTGAAGTCTCGTTGTAGCTCGTGATCAAAGAGAACGCGCTAAAAACATTAAGTCCGCTTCCTCTCTGATCTAATGGCTTTACGGCGCGCACTAAAATTACCAAGAGTCGTGTCAACTCTTCATCGCCGTCGGGAGATTTCACAACGAGATCGTAAATCAAGCGAGACTGGCCAACGAGACCATAAATCAGGCGAGACCTCGCGTTGGTATCGTAAACTCAGCGCCATGACTGAAGAACATGTCAATAACGCTGAGGTTGGAAGTGACGTCAGTCCTGATCAACGCGCCATATCTGATAGCTTTTTGTAATTTTCACAGGCGTGATTAACATTCCACGGTTTGTTCGAACTATTGAACTCATTCTTCTTGTTTGGTTGTTCTAGATTAATAATCCGGAAAATATGTCGAATGATAATGTGCAAATCTTTGAATTACGGAAGCTATCTTAAACACGAAGAAATAGATCAATAATCCGAACAACTGTTGGAATGGTAATAACTCTTCACAAAAGTTCGTTTTACAAAAATGAGACCAGTAGTCAGAAAAATACATCTTGAGTGTTCACAAAACCGTAGAGTTCATCTAATACAAAATGATAGACTCAACAGTCCGAATAAATATTGAAGCGACCTTGAATACCCAACCAGTTGATAGATTAGTCTGGAGGGCTGGTCAGCGTACATGATGTTTTCTATTCATTTCTGTGTTTATCTACACCCTAAATCTTTCATCCGACGATTTTCCTTTCAATCTTCTCCTGGTCTGTGTTAATGACATAAAATTAGGAGTCGATGTGCGCGTAGCGAAAAGTAGAATCTGCGTACACAGTTCAAATCTCGGCCGAGTTTGTTGCGTTCATTTTCGACTGAAAATAAAAAAATTATAGATCCCTACCCCGCCCCATTAGAATGTCTGACGCTCAACTTCTCGAGAGCAGCTCTCTGCGGCTGCTCTGTCTCACATTGTCTGCTGACCGAAGATGGAACAAATAAATGGGGTCAATTGCTTTGTCCACCGCAAGGAAAGTTGGCTCCCTATGCCGTGCCAGGAAATTTTTCTCCCCGGAATCGATCCTTCAAATCTACAAACCAACCATTCGCCCTTGCATGGAGTATTGCTGCCATATATGGTCTGGAGCCCCTTCTGTTTGTCTCGGGCTTCTTGATAACATCCAGAGGTGGATATGCAATATAATTGGCACTGATCTGGCATCTCGTCTGCAGTCGCTTTCTCACAGACGTGCAATCGCGTCTCTCTGTCTTTTTTTTTTTACAAATACTTTCATCGTAATTGCTCCGATGAGCTGCTTTCGCTTGTTCGAAGACTTCATGAAATCAAGCGTCCTACGAGGCTGGCATCCCGCTCTCACCCTTTCACTGTTGAAAATTTTAAATTTAACTTCGTCTCTTCTACTCCAATAGCTTCATATCTCGCACCTCTCGCCTGTGGAACTCCATTCCCTTTTCCTGTTGCCCTGATCGCTATAATCTCCAGCTATTCAAATGTAATGTCAATCGACATCTCCAGTTACCTTCATCTATCCACTATCCTTCTCTTCATCCTTTCCTCAATCACTCCTATCTGCTCTCGCTCCAAATCCTATGTAACCCCTTGCGTGCTAGTGGCTTCCAGCCTTGCTTGGGGTGAAATGCTTAAAAAAAAAAAATAGATCACATCTCTCCTAGCTTAGAATTAATTAATATGCGAACTCTGCTTTCAAACATGTTTGGCCACCAGTCTAGGAGACAAATAAAGAAAAAAACTAAATTCAATCCATTATTAAAAAAATATTAATCCATCTCTTTTACGCTTTCTTAGGGTAATAAGAGGCACACTGGTATCTCTAGTCCCTGTTGATGACTAACTTAAGAGAAATAAAACATTAAATTCAAAACATTGGAAGAAATATTAATCCACCTTTATACACCATCTAGGGGTTAATAGAAAGACACACTGTAATCTCTAGCCTCTGTTGGTAACCAGTTTAGTAGAAAAATAACACTAAATTTAAAACCAGATGTACGTACTAAAACATTCTACACGTGACTGGGTGATCTTTCTCCTTAGCCTCTTTGTAAGGACAGAGCACCCATATTAAACCGATCTTGTATCACATCCTACCACGCGTGGGTGCTATAAGTAAATA